CCCAACCCCGCGTCCCCCAAACCCCCCCTGACCCTCCCTGAGCGCTTCCCCATCCCCGAATCCCGCGATTCCCGCTTTTCCCTAAATCCCACCTTGGGGGCTGTGACACCTGAGGGGGGCGCCGTTGATGACGTCATCGATGATGTCATCGATGACGTCACGGATGACGTCACCACCCGCAGCGGCCGGGCTGTATTACCTGGCGGAGCTGATCGAGGAGTTCACCGTGCTCACCAAGAGGATCATCAAGTACATGATCTGGGTGAGCGTCCCGGGAATTCCCACCGGGAATTCCAACTGTAAAATTCCCAACCGGGAAATCCCAACCGGGAAATCCCAACCGGAAATTCCCAACTGCGAATCCCAACAGGAAAATCCCAACTGTGAAATTCCCAACCGGGAAATTCCCAAACTGGAAATTCCCAACCGGGAAATCCCAACCGGGAAATCCCAACCGGAAATTCCCAACTGCGAATCCCAACCATAAATTCCCAACCAGGAATTCCAACCAGGAAATCCCAACCAGAAATTCCCAACTGCGAATCCCAACAGGAAAATCCCAACTGTGAAATTCCCAACCGGGAAATTCCCAAACTGGAAATTCCCAACCGGGAAATCCCAACTGCGAATCCCGACTAGGAAATTCCCAACCGGGAAATTCCCAACTGGAAATTCCCAACTGGGAAATTCCCAACTGGAAATTCCCAACCGGGAAATCCCGACCAGAAATTCCCAACTGCGAATCCCAACAGGAAAATCCCAACTGGAAATTCCCAACCGCGAAATTCCCAACCAGGAAATTCCCAACTGCGAATCCCAACCGTAAATTCCCAACCAGGAATTCCAACCGGGAAATCCCAACTGCGAATCCCGACTAGGAAATTCCCAACTGGAAATTCCCAACTGGAAATTCCCAACTGTGAATCCCAAACTGGGAAATCCCAACTGCGAATCCCAACCGGAAATTCCCAACTGGGAAATCCCAACCGGGAAATTCCCAACCGGGAATTCCCAAACTGGGAATTCCAACCGGGAAATCCCAACTGGAAATTCCCAACTGCGAATCCCAAACCGGGAAATCCCAACTGGAAATTCCCAACCGGGAAATCCCAACCGGGAAATCCCAACTGGAAATTCCCAAACGCAAAATTCCCAACTGGAAATTCTCAACCGGGAAATCCCAAACTGGGAAATCCCAACTGGGAAATCCCAACCGTGAAATTCCCAACCAGGAAATCCGAACTGGAAATTCCCAACTGGAAATTCCCAACCAGGAAATTCCCAACCGGGAAATCCCAACTGGAAATTCCCAACTGTGAATCCCAACCGGGAAATTCCAACTGGAAATTCCCAACCAGGAAATTCCCAACCGGGAATTCCCAACTGGAAATTCCCAACCAGGAAATTCCCAACCGGGAAATCCCAACTGGAAATTCCCAACTGCGAATCCCAAACCGGGAATTCCCAACTGGGAAATCCCAAACCGCGAAATTCCCAACCATGAAATTCCCAACCGCAAATCCCAACCAGGGAAAACCCAAACCAGGAAATCCCAACCGGGAAATTCCCAACCTTGAAATTCCCAACCGCGAATCCCAACCAGGAAATTCCCGGGAATTCCGCCCTCTTCCCCTCCCCCCCTCCCATCCCTTTGGGAATCCTCAAATTCCCGGCCGAACCCCGGCGGGAATCGTCGATTCCGTCTGACCCAGGGTGAAGTTTCTCTTGGAATTCCATCCCGGATTTTTTTTTTTTTTTTTTTTTT